GGACACATGACTCACGAAATTTCCTTTGTATAATGATCTGCGGCGTCTGGGTCATCTTCATTCAGTATATAAGAAAACATATTAATACTACATTGCTGCTACAAGTCGAGCATGAATACTGGCTGGTGGTGTTGGGGGAGCTAGCCAGTTTCGCCCCTATTGTGTGCAGCTTCGTGGCGCCATTGTCGCCAAGTCCATGCCGTCATCCCATTGGCGTCCTCGGAGTCATATTTGCGGGGCCGACAGCTCACATGCCCAACTCGACCCGCCGACCTGTCAGGCGTCACCGCTCCTCCCTATATCTTATAACATGTCGCTCTCCAACGACCCAGGCCATTACTTCCAAACGACGTACCGATTCTGCCCTTGTGCTTGTGCCTCTTGATCCCGGCTGATATCATGTAGCTCGGCACTTGAGGAGACAGCCCGCAAGGCTGCCAAATCGAAGAACACAAAGGGCAACCCCACCAAGCTTCCATCCAAGATCCTCGCCGTTATCGCGGATCCTCAGGATGAGCGCCATGTCTACGTAGCTGAAGCTGCAGGCAGCGTGAAGCATATCAATATTGAAGTCGGTCAGACATCTGCTTCCACGCTCCAGCTTCACCGCTGGACGTGATGGTAGCGATCCGTCGCTAACTGCTCTTCCGACAGACTAGCAAAGTCGTTGCTACTTTTTCCGGCCCCACGGCTCCCTTGACTTCCATCGCCGTGTCGTCAAAGTCCGATACGCTATTCGCGGGCTGCTGGGATAAGTCGATATGGTCGTGGTCACTCTCATCTCGGAAAGTGTCCACCCGCTTTCAAGGCCACAGTGATTTCGTCAAGGCTATCATATCCTTTACCTTGAATGGCAAGGAGGTTCTCGTCTCGGCCTCTCAGGATGCGAGCATCATAGTGTGGGATATAGCTGCTGGAAAGAAGCTGCACACACTCAAAGGACACACACGGGGCATCCTCGCTCTTGCACTAGACCCGGTTGACTATGAACCTGGGAAAGACACCGTCACCGTCTTCAGTGCCGGAAGCGATCGAGAGATCAGACGCTGGCAGATCGCATCTTCCTCGGCTCGTGAAATTCAGCCGTCACCAATCATTTCCCACGAGACTAGTATCGACGCTCTACATTTCGACGCTGACGGTGATCTATGGACTGCATCAGCAGATAAGACGGCAAAATGCCTATCTAGAGGCCGAGATTGGGAAGAAGATTCCAAGTTTGAGCACCCTGACTTTGTTCGCGACGTCGTGGTTGACGAAGCTGGCGGGTGGATCGTGACCGCATGCAGAGATGAAGAAGTCCGTGTATGGGAGAGAGCCAGTGGTAGATTGCACCACACTTTTAGTGGACACTTTGAAGAGGTCACAGGACTTTTCTTGGTGGGGCAGCGTCTAATCAGCGTCAGTATCGACGCCACAGTGAGACAGTGGAGCCTGAAACCACAAGAGCTTGCCAAGTCTATTGAGGAAGCTGAGAAGGAACGACTCGGAGAAGAGACAACAAAGGAACCAGAGCGAAAAGAGAGTCTAATGACCGTGGAAGAAGAAGCGGAGCTCGCTGAGCTCTTAGAAGATAGCGATTAGACATCGACTAGCGATCCGACGACCGGACATGCGTTACCAAGGTTTGCTGGGAAATTTCGATCCCGTTTGTCCGGTCGGCCCCTCTAGGTAAATTTCGAAGCGAGACGACTGGCTGAGACAGTCATGTTCCCTCCCACACTCCGGCGGTGACTAGCTCAAGGATGAACTTGTCTAGCTTTGCAACTGTAGCTTAGGCTACACACCTTCCATCTTTACGAGGGATTCTCGGTCTACGAGAAGCATCAAGGTCGCCCTGCTCACAGCTCAATCTTAGCGCCAATGTTCGTCCTGGGTCTGCAGACAGTTTATCTGTCCTCACGTTGGCCGTCTAATGCCGGATGTGGAACGGAATCATGGTTGACTTCCCCGTCTCTATGAAGAGAAGCTTGGTATTCCCCATTTTCCTATTTTGATTTGACTAGTGGTGCTGTTTACTGGCGTCTAGCACTCGTGCCATGGAGTTCGCCAGCACGGGCCTACAGCTCACCTTTCATCGACATGTGATCAACCAACAAGCGGCGCGTTCACTTTCACAGCAAAATATTCCTGGCCAGTTCACCCCTCCATCCCCCCAACTCACCTCACTCAGCCGTGCACACCATCTTTCTTTGTTCTCGCAACCATCCTTCCTTACCATTTCCTGAACACACTACCATCATCTGCCGAGCTAGCCTTTTGGCTTCCATTGAACGGAGTTTGGATTTTTCCAGGCATGCAACAAACCCTTCAGAGTTTCTTCTGACGACCTACACGAACGGACGTTCCGATCGATACCCCGCGATGAGCTAGTCTCAGCCTTTTTTTTCTCGAGTCATGTCGTCACCAAGGGTGATGCGTGCCCACCGTAGACAAGGGAGAAGCTACTTCACGCCAGGGAGCGTTTGCCGCAACCCCGCTACCAGTGTCGCCTTTTCAGGTTGTCGTGTGTAGAAGATACCAGCAGATATGGAGCATCATGCTCTGGCAGGCCATTTGGTCCATGGTTCAATGTCGTGCGAGGATGCTTCTCCCTTGTGCCGGTGAAACCACATGTAGGAACTCATGGCTTTCGCCACGAAGGTGAAGGCACTGTTCTTGAGCTTTGTTCTTTCCCGTCGCTTAGTATTCTTTCGAAGCGCGCGATGGTGGGAAACAAAGGATATGAGTTTCGTATTCATTCTCAACGTGTTGACTATGACAGGCCTTCGGTCCTTGGCGTTTCGTTCAGCGTACAACAAGAATCGGCTGGCACGGTCAAGTCTGGTTTTTCGAGAACGGCATAAGACGTCGAATACAAGCGGGCGATCTTTCTCGGAGTGTTCAGTTTCTGGTCGGCAAGCGCTCAGAGGGTCTTTGTCATACAGCGTTCGCATCGAGACACCGACTATCTACCACGCAACAAGGTCTGACCATGTTGCGCTGTAGAGGCGCGAAACAACAAGGTGCAGCTCGTCAGTCAAGGTGAATTTCCCCCCGCCACCAGTGCTGTTTTTTCAGACAGCGAGCGTGGAAGATGCCTGCGATATTGAGTCTTTCTCGGAAGACTCTGACAGACCACATGGTCCATGGCTTTCTTTGGCTGTCATGACTCACCTTTTCGAAACCGACGAGGTCCAACGAGACATGCCCAACCTGAGGCAGCCCACTAACTTGACCTGTGGGAAACCCAGGCCAGATGACGTGAGAGCACTTTTGCGGAACCACAGATTTTCGGAACCTTTGGTCCGTTTCGGCTCAGTCGAGCCTCACTTTTCGTGCTGGCGCTTTGAAGACCCGGCCCACCTCCAGCACGACAAAGATACTGTCCCTTATTCAGGGGTTGAGACTGGTTTGCTCCTTGTTTTCCATTCCGGCACGAGCTTTGGCCCCTCGCACTCGCTCGCCCTCACTGGTACCAGGTAGAGTATGCTTTTCTCACCCCACGATGGTTCGCGTGAGGAACCTGTCTGTCAGGGAAAGGCTTGCCTTATCCCCGCCATCAGTATCATCCTTTTAAGGAAGATGAGTATGGAAGATGCCTGCGATATTGAGCTTCTCCGGAAGTCTCTGGTAGACCTTAGGGTCCACGGCACTCTGCTTACAGGCACCCTCGGATGCACATCCCCCCGATGTCTTGGCTATTGTGCAGACCCCTCCTCCCCCACCCAACTTTCGTGCCCAGGTGCCACACTTTCGGGTACGCCCGCTTTTTCAGGTACGCCTGCTTCCTACGGGTACGCCCGCTCATTCAGGTCCGCCTATGTTCCGGATAAGTCCGCTTGTTCAGGTCCGTCCTACGCCACATAGGTTCGTCCGTGTGTGCCATCGAGTCGATGTATGTAACTACATCGGCATCTTGTCCTGCAGGGAACGTTCGCGTATCCCCGCCGCCAGTGGATCGCTTTTTAGGGATTCGTGCGCGGAAGAGGCCTACAGATATGGAGCTCAGTGACTGCTTTCGAGTGGCTGCTGTGTCTCTGATAGACCGCATGGTTCTTGGCTGAAATGCAGACAAACCCCCAAATCACGAAGCCTCGTCCGTGCTATTTAGCACGGCCGAGGCTTCGTGAGCTATTTGGAGACACACCGCGATTGCGGTGTTCACACTTGTAAAAGTGTCAACACCCTTGACCGGTGTTTTTTGAGTTGGCCCTTGGGCTTTTCTGAGAAACCTTTTTTCCGAGAAAACTCTTTTACCGCCCTTTTGGGTATTCTGAGAAAAAACTTTGGCTCCTTGGAGCTTTCTGAGACCTGTCCTTTTTTGGGTATTTATACCCTTTGAGTCGATTCGTCGACAATGGCTGTCATGGCCATTGGTAAGGTATGCGGGGCAGCTGCTCACTTAAATGCTTGCCTGGGGAAGAAATGAGTCGCGGCGTTCTTTGAACATTGGCGTGACTGCAAGAGGTGGACGGGCGGTAGAAGTCGGACCCTTGCGCCTCCTCGTGGTGCCGCCTGGATAGTCGACCACTCTTTTTCATGTGCGAGAGAGTGGGAGATGAACTAGATGCTTGGGACGCAGCGTAAGTTGTTTTGATTGTTGTTTGTTGAGATTATCTCGCAGTATCCTTGCTCTATTGATGTTGAGGATTGAGGTGACTGCTCATGAGTAGGTATAAGACTAGGTGTGACTTGGGCTATTGAACAGATTAGGCTGGGATATAGGAAGAAGTAGGATAATTGTGATGCTGAGATGTTTTCACACTCCTGGTAGACCATTGTAGTAACGCAAATATGATCAGTCTATTCTACAAACTACTTGCAAGGCAATTATATAATTCCCTTTCTTCCCTTGTAGTGAGAAACATCTCCCTCTAGCTAAGAACATACAAGCGCTCATAGTACTCTCCAATTTCTCAGCTGCTCGTCGGAGATACTTGCTCGGATTTCCATCAAGTTTACCGCATACCTTGGAGCGAAAAAAAACTCTCCCATAATCAACTATAGTGCCACTTGCCTCAGTCCTCCTGAAACCAAGCATCTCCCAACACACTCTCCGCCGACGCCCTATCCCCCGGCTCCAAACGTAGCATACTCCCGATCACCCTCCCCACCCTCTTTGTGTCCTCCTTACTCAAATCCTGGTTCTTCTCTTCGTCAAAATACACTTCCTCCAACCACTCCTGAAGCGACTGCTCCTCATTATCAACTAGTAGGTGTGGTGCGTGCATGGCATGCCATCCCCCCTGCCAACGGTACGGTAACGTATCGCTGGTCATTTCTAGCATTTGGGATATGAGGATTGGATGGGTCATGAGGAAGGTGTTGAAGGAGGGTTTGGGGTTTGGGCGGTTAGGAGCTCGAATAAACTAAATATCAACTGTCAGCATTCCATTGATATATTGGTTAAAGGGGAAAAGTGGGATAAGGAGGTGGGGGGGAAAGGGAGAACGTACAACACAGGCCATACTCCAGAGGTCGACGCGGTGGTTGAGGGGGTCGTTGAAGAGGATTTCGGGGGCGCGGTGGTAGAGTGGGGTGTGCAGGGTGTGGAGAGGGTTGTTGGATAGGAAGGATTGACCGTGGTCGATGAGTTTGATTGGGGTGGGGGATGTTTGGGGGTTGAGTGGAGGTATAATGCGGGTCGGACGAGGTAGGTGGGGAAGTTGGATTCGAGGGGCTGGCGGTTGGTTCGTTGGACAGGTGCGGTTTCGGGTTCTCCTAGTTTCTGGAGGATATCCTGTTCGTGGGAGGTGGGGAGGGTGAAGGCTAGGTTGCGGGTATGTAGGTCTGGGGACGATAAGCAGAGAAAAGGTTTCGTAGGGAGGGTGGGGTGGCAATTCTCAATGTACCCGCATGTGCGATGTTGTGCTCGTGGAGAAAGGACAAACCAGTCAAGGTTTGTTTTGCAATTGTCTTTACAAGCGGTCCGGGAAGTCTTGTAAGGCCTGAACACCTGTTGAGGTAGTCTGCTACACTTGGCCCTAATAGTTCCGTTACGAGGCAATTATGGGTCCCGTTTGGACCATGGATCTGAAAGTAATCTTGCATTATCATGAAATGCTGGTATCCCGGCTGATTGGAACGTGCAAGACGGCCAACTCTCGACTGTGATGGGTTGTCTCGGATACGCATATTTTGATAGTGACAAATGTTTGATTCCTAGCAATATGTCAGTCTAAAATTCCCACAGTAGTATTTGGCAGATAGAAAGACCTGGTATCGCGCGCAGCCCAGACGGTCGAGTATCCGCCCCACCCCGATTTGTGTAGGATCTTGTATCTTTCGTTGTTCAGATAATCGCCTAGGTGAACGGGGTGGTATCCACCCTTGCAGTAGCGATATAATGGTTCAGCGCCTACGTCGCATCTGTGTGTGTGGACCAATCCGCCGGTAGTTTACTTTGCTGCGAGAGTTGAATTGTTGTAGAAGAAAATGAACATAGAGGCAGGGATACTCTCCATGATGGTACAAACACCAATGCCTTTCGGAACTGTAGGTTGAAAGGGCGAGCGCTTATTGTGGAAAAAGCCATGCTTCCGCACGCCGCGTGGGTTGGATTGCTAGAGACGTATAGATACTTAGAGTGGGTGGCGAGGGGAAGAGATGCCAACGGAATTATTTTTGCTCTTCTAATGAATGTCGAGGATTTGTAGGCGTAGATAATGGAATATTGCTATGTTCTGATTGAGTGACATGTGTGTTAGCTACAACTGCAGGTTACCTGGAGCGTCGAACAGCGAACTTGTGTTTTGATATTCTAGACGGGTCCTCATCTTTGAGAAGTATATTAATGGGCAAGCATAATTACAAGAGAGCAATGCGCTACTCGATTTCGTCCCTTCAGCATTTCCGTGGTTCTATATAGTGGGGCGTCCCATTCACCTACATGAGAGAGATTGGCAGCCCCACTCATCCCTCATTCTGAACCCTTCCACCGCTGCGCCCATAGTCCTTCAGCAAGATCCTTCAATCTATCACTCCGTCTCTGCATCATATCACTCCCCAACTGTCTATTGTATTCACAGACGTCATCAAAAACGTCCTCAAGTCTACACGTATCCCCACCATTCTTATCGAACGCGCAACGAAGACGCCGCTCCAACGCTTCAATATACAGAGGATAAAATCTGCAATCATTCCAACAAAGTGTCTGAAGAAACTTATCGACTCTGCGCCTGAAAATTTCGAACTCTAATCTTAGTATCCTATTTCCTATACACATGCGGCGCTCCGAACTCCGAAGGATATTCCGGATACGCAGCTCAGCGTACTCCCAAAACGACAGTGTACCGCTCCCTAGCCTCTTTCGTACAATATTCTCCTCAGCAAACAGCCTAGTCATGAGTTGTCTCCAGTCGAGCACAACGCGCGCGTTGTACGGTTTGGGTTCACCGTCCACGGCATGGAAATCGGCATGGTCGAATCGCGTTTCGGCACTGTTGATAAACGTATACCGCGCATCTGGGGTATCGAACCATATAACTTGGTCTTGCTGCGTCTCGCGCTTTATGCCGGTTCGCCATACGTCCACATCAGCGTAGTTGATTCTGCGGAGTGCCTCTTCTTGCCATTCCGAATACGACATATCCGGGTCGTCTTCCTCGCAGCCGTTGACCGAGCGCAACGTCAAGGTCAGTGAGGAGGACTTCCACGTGCTGTCTGCGGTCTGCTGGTACGGGGTCGCGATGAGATTGGGTTCCGTGTACTTGGTGATGGACTCTGCCTCTGTCCATTCAATGTGGAGAAGAGGGATAAAGGTAGTATAAAACACGCGCTCTGCTTCATATCGTATCCCACGAGCGACTTGGCGACAGGGGACCCAAAGGGTGAAGGGGTCGTCGATGTGTTGTAGGATTTCGGCCCAGATTTCGAGGGGGAGGGTGGACGCCATTGTGGTTTTTGCAGTGTTTCAATTGAGGATTAGAGAGGGAAATGCCTTCAACAAATACTGCATGGGCACGAACTAGGTGACGAATCGTGTAGTAAAGGCAAAGTTTATACGACGGGGCTTTGTGTAGTGTGCAATGACATTAGGCAGATACCAGGCAGAAGCCAGAAGGTGTTGGATGGACCCTTGCGATGTACCAGAGTGTGCAATTGGACAATGTGAGCAGACGGAATGAGAGAGCATATACTTTGTTTCATCTGCTGGCCTGAAATCGATATCGCTATATAATAGATGCTCCTCAGTATGGAGATTCTCCTTGCAGCATACCTGAAGATACGTAGTAGATCACGTGTTTTCGCGTTTAGCGCGTAACGCTAAAATAGCTGCTTATCTGCCCCCACATCTTGTCTCCACTTTCCCTCCATACAGGTCTTACACAAACCGATCAAAGTTCAATTGGGACGGGTTCATCTCGATATCTTTGTTCCCTCTGTCATTGACTCGTAAAATCCTTATCTTGAGATTAAGAGAATTTGAAAATCATAATGACTGCCAGCACTCCATCCAAGCCATTCCGCTTCCGCGATCTCCCTAGCGAAATAAGACCATGTGTTGGTGTGCTTACAGCATATGCTGATGTAGCTCCAACGTCTTCTAGATACGCAATAAGATCTACCGCATCATCTTGTGCGAGTTCGATCACTCGCCCGGCGAATTCGGTGTTGTGGATGATGACTTCATGGAAGACGTCCTACACTTACCGCGCGTCGAACGTCGTATCGAGACGTCCATACTTCGGACATCGAAAGAAACATACCGCGAGGCTTACGATATCATGGTGAAGACCAACCGTTTTGTCAAAGTGACATCGGCGGAGGGTATGCCCGTTGTAGGTGCTCTTAGTGGACAGCAGACTCCAGTAGTCACTCAGGAAAAGTTTCTCGTCGACCAGTTCAAAGGGTATGTACTCAGTGTACACTTCGGTCTGAAGAAGCAGAGAGACAACAGGGCGTCGAGAGATTCGGCTTGGCATGAACCGCTGACAGCCATGATATTGCATCGGCATCTGGACAAACTTTGCCAAGGTATCAAAGATGGAGATGCACACTCACCAGGCTTCAGTGAGTCTCTCAAGATCTCAATCAGGATGGCACCTGTCCTAGATAATATACAAAGCAACAATATAATGCCCTCCTTTGATGGTTTCTTCTTAGAGAAGATGCAGAAGACCTTGTTCGCACCCCTCAGGGCCAATCTCCATGGGTACAAAGGGGTTGAGGTCAAGGGTCATGTTGATAGCGCCGTCGCAACAGCTCTGCGTCAAGATATTGCAAAAGATCCATACTCTGATCCTGCAGCGGTCCTAACCCAGTATATGACCGCAAAGGAGGAAGGAACTCGTCTATTCCAAGAGGGTCAAGTTGAACTTGGGTGTTTGCAATGGCAAGACGCCGCAGTCGAGATCGACATGCTGATCGTCTCAAGTTCTTGGCCTGATCTGGTTCGTCAAGGAAAACAGGAGTTTGTTTCGCAGCTTGCCCAAGTCTATTTCATTATGCGTCTCAACATCATCCACGTCCAGCTTTCCAATTGGTCGGAGAGTTCCTTCGTCGCTGAGGTACTGGCTAAAGACTCGCTGAACTGTGCCTTCGAGTCGCTTAAGCAAGATTATTGGATGAAGGGATATAAGCACGCCGTGTCTGTCGCGCACAAGGCGAAATTCTTCTTTCGGTATGCAACCTTTCTGAGGTTACAAGCGGACCCTAGCAACAAAGAACGAGCCCTGGGATTCATCAACCTGGCTCTGCGGAAGCAGCCTGGAGATCCGGGCATCTTGAGGGAGAAGGACAAGATCCTTGAATGGATGAGGCAATTGTGACGTGATTTGAGATGATCAGCGATGATACGGGGATAGAAGCGTCAACTTGGCTCGCGTTTTCGATAGCAGCGGTGTGCTTTGGGGGATTGAAATTGATGAAGTCATATTGTCGCACAGCTGATGATGTTTATTCAGGTGAAGACAGATAGAAAGGAGAACGCGTTGATCGTTGGTTTCCTAGTTTGCTGGGGCCGTGCCATTCGGTAACCGCCAAGACCATTACTAGTAGTCTGCGCTTTCCCTTCCCAGCAGTCAACATGTTACACGGCTTGGGACCAACTGCTTGACAATCTTCTCCAACGGTCCTACTCAATTGTGCTCAATTGTTTACTCCTTAATACACAATCACTTGCACCATGGCTGAAGATACCCCGCCTTTCCGCTTCATGGACATGCCCCACGAGATCAGAGATGAAGCATACAGTCATCTGTTGTGCGCGTACGAAGCCCCCCACCTATGATAAGTCGGGATATGCTAGTCTGAGAGACGAGCCTACTCTCACCTTTGTTGAGCACTCCATTGACATGGCTATCTTGCGCACTAACAGCCAGATTCACCGCGAGGCCTATGATGTCATGGTGAAATCTAACCGATTCATTCGACTCAATTGCGCAATGTATATGCCTTTTCTCGAGGGCTTTGCAGGTCATGATATGCCAACTATGGCATGTGGGCCAATCTGTTCTGAGAAGCACGTCCGTTACAAGGACGACTTGACTGGACACTTCTCCGAGACTATACAGAAAGTATTTCTGGATCCCTTTCTTGCCATTGAAGATTATAGGGACGTTGAAGTATATGGATAAGTATCTCCTGAAGTGGCAGGCGCTTTCAAGAAGGAACTCGCTACGGATCGGACTAGTCCAGACCAGGTGCTGAAGTCGCTGGAATCAAAGAAAGACGAAGGACTTGGCTTCTATCGTAAAGGGGACTTCATACAAGCTAGTATGTTGTGGGCAGAAGTTTCAATGGAGGTTGCCAGCCTTCGCAGGGGGAAAACCTGGGACAAGTTGCAAAGAACCAGTGGTGATAGTTTCATTGAGAGCATTGCTGATCTGCAATTCAAGACCGGCCTCAACGTGGCTCAAGCCACCATCAAAGTAAGAGATATGACTTTCAGAATGCTGGGTAAGAGTAGAAGTAATCCAGAGCTACAACGAGACATGGCAGAGTGCGGATTGAAAATGTCGGCGGATGCGGCGGCTCCCGGGTATTGGCGGGATGGATACACATGGGAGTGTTCCGACGTCCTCCGAGTGAAGCTGCTATATCGCAGAGCCATGTGTGTTAGGATGTGGGGAACAATTGATGAGGCTGAGGATGCTTGTATGTTTCTCAGGAAGGCGTTGGAGCTGGTACCCGACGACCCCGTGATGCTCCAAGAGAGGCGAAATCTCATGAAATGGTTCTTAGGAGAGTAGGCGGTGGTTGTGAAAAAAACCACACTGAAGGTGACATCACGAGTTCAAGCCCAATACATAGATTGTAATCTGAGATACGGTAGGGGCGTTGGGTAAAGTCTCCATAAAATTTATTTCCTAGCAATTAATGACTACCTTTAAGCCTTTAACATCTTGCTAACACCTCACTCTCTCTTCACAACGCATTACGATCCCATTCAATCATCACCCCACTCCTCCCTAATCATCTCGGCCCCCTTCTCAGCAACCATGTAGATACTAGCCACAATATTCACATCAGGCAGCACAGGCACGATACTGCAGTCAACAACCCTCAACCCATCAACATCATACACCTTCAACTTGTTATCCACAACACCTCCCTTATCCTTGGGCAGCATGCGGTTAGTACCAGTGGCATGCCAATTAGGAATAGTATTCGCCTTGATATACTCCAAGATAGCATCATCGTCATCATCCGCGACGGCAGATCCAGGGCTCACCTCACCCGAGTTGGGGCCGATGGTGAACTGCGAGAGAGCAGGGTTTCTCAAGATCTTGCGCAGGTACTTGAACGACGCGATACCGACGGCGGCATCGGTGGGGTCGGCGTAGTAGTTGCTGTCGATGAGAGGCGCATCCGACATGGATCCCGTGCGCAGTGTTACGGTGCCGCGGGATAGCTGGACGAGGCTGGATGCGGTGACGGAGATGTAGGAGTCGTTGGAGCGGGGGGACCAGTACGGGGTGGGGATCCAGGGGTACCAGACGCTTTCGAAGAGGTACTCGATGTGGGATTGGTTTGCGAGACCGGCGTTGATGACGGCTTCGGCACCGATGCTGCGGAGTTCGTCTTCGCTGAGCTTCTGGAACCCGTTTGTGACGCCCGAGGGAGCGGTGTATGGGCCCGTGAGGTTCTGGTAGAACTTTGTTTGGGCAGCACGCAGGTTCTCGGGGGTGCGGGACATGTCTGTGGTTGAGGCGCTGTCTTGGGCGCGGGCCATGATGGAGAAGACGGAGTGGTCGTTGAGGTGCTGGCCGACGTTCTCGTTGACTACGAGGGGTGTGATGCCGACTTTCTCGAGCTCAGCCTTGGGGCCAATACCCGAGACCATGAGCATTTGGGGCGAGTGGAAGGCACCCAGACTCAGGATAACTTCGTTGCGGGCTTTGACCGTATTGACGAAGCCAGTGGCGTGATGGACATAGCTAAGACCGATAGCACGAGGTCGGGTGCCGGTTGTGTCAAACTTGAGCCCGGTAACAGGGGAGTCATGTAGGACCTTGAGGTTGGGACGCTGACGAGCCTGTTGATAAAATGTCGTGTAGCTTGACATTCTTCGAAGGTTGCCATTGAGTGTTGTAGTTCCATGCTTGACACCGACACTGTCTCCAAGGTTCTGGTCCTTGACAATGGGAATGTTGAGCGCCTCGCTAGCAGCTTTAATGAAGCCTTCGGTGGCAGGGGGAACGTATCCTTGGAAACCGAGTTCAAGCGGTCCGTCCCCATAAGCACTAGCCTCGTAGGTCTTGTAGTCTTGGTTGAATGCTGCCAACGCATCCGATGAACTTGGTGAGACGATTTTGGTGCTCTTCACGAAAAGAGGCCACACGTCGCTCCAACCCCATCCGTCATTTCCGAGTTCCTTCCAGTGATCGTAGACACTGGCTGAACCACGACCGTAAAAAAGACCATTGGTTGTGCTGGAACCTCCAAGACCCCTTCCACGAAGGTACTGAATGGTACGGTTGTTCAAGTGCACCTGTGGCTGAGTTATGAATCCCCAGTCGAGTAAGCTACCCTTGATGAATTGATTGCCTCCAGGAGACTCGTAGGCCAATACTTGTTCTGGACTTGGTCCAGCTTCAAGCACAAGCACGGAAAAGCGCCCGGATTCAGAGAGGCGATTTGCTAGTACCAAACCAGCCGTTCCTCCTACTTATTGTTAGTTATATATTTTCAATACATTAACCGATGATAATGAACACGGAAATAACTTCATAAAAGCTCCAGGTAAGGGTTGTAGTATGGATTGGAAATACGCAGCGAAACATACCTCCGGCAATAACGAAGTCGTACACTTCGTTGTATGATGCATCATCATCTGGAGCACTTCCGCGTGGAGTAGTAGCGTCTGCCCGCTTTGCAAACTGAGAGTTGTAGAAATCAAATGACGGCCATGCCGAAGTGACATGTAGCAGTGAAGACAGCGTCAGCAAGACGCATGTCGATGCTTGACCGACAGTCAAGTGACGCATCTTGAAATAAGTTTAAGGTATACTCGAGTATTGTCTGGGCTATGGGGTACTAATATCGATTAAGATGGACGCTCTGAACATATAGCCCTGGCCTTGGAGTGAGAGAAAGGCACGAACGCGGACATCAGGCAAAAGTTGGAAAAGATACAAGTCTTTATACTTCTCAGTTCATGATTTGATTTGAGCAACTATTTGCCATTCCCGGGGGCCAAGCACGGGTGCTCAGGATTTCTTGGACCTGGGTAAGCAAAAAAGCAGTGCCTTCGTAAGACACAGGCTTACGGCTGAAGCTTCGTAGTTGGCTAGGCTGATATCCCGCATACCCTTGTCAGGGCTGATATATCGTAAAGTTTCGGTCCAAGTTAGTACCCTCGCAGGTGGGGCCATCTTCTTTAGTCAAGATTCAGCCGAGAGGAGGAGGTATATATGCCTTCTTGAAAGATATTTTGCATAGCCATTTATGACCAGACCTCGACCTCTGGCGACCAAATTTGTATGAACCTACTACAGAAGATCCGTAAGCTGACACCTCAACAGAGCCACCAAAGGTACCGACAGGAAGTACACATGTGTACCACCGAAATGCAACGACTACACATTGGGTAGACGACGGTGGGGCCAAGCCGCTAGTGGTCATTGCCCAGTCTAGTACCGTCACGCAAGATCGAAGCTCAGTGTCGATCGCCAACTGTCGATGTGAGCCCACCCAGCGGAACTGCGCGGAGTTCTCAAAGGTTAAAAAATAACTTGATTGTTGGTATTAGACGGCGATGACAAGTGCCAATGCTGACCCAGCGCCCGCCGGGCGTGCGGGGAAGCCAAGCAAGGGCATTCCCGTGGTACCTACACACGGCGCTACGCGCAACCCGTGAATAAAGCCCCGGAGCAATTGGAAATTCATAGTTACTATGAGGTATACTCGTAGCAAAGCCACACATGCAGGTCCGGCATTATCGGATAGAATTGGGATCGACACCTATAGTATGACCGAAGAGGCGGCATAGCTTTTGCAAGGTATACAACGTTAGAATACCACGGCAATGGCGTAATGGCGTCACGCCTCAACCATAATTGGTGCTGAGCGGGACTTGCGGTAGTTGTCGGGAGACCGGAGCGGCGATGAGAGGGGTTTTCTTTCGATCAGGTTGCGGGAACCCTCTAGTTCATTGGCTGAACGAACGGGATCCAAGAATTGTCTTGCCTTAGCAGATGTCTTTTATAGTGAGGCTAGGTGCTGGGTCTCCCTTATGAAAGGAGATGAATTGAGTCTACCATGCAACAGGAGATGAGTATACCTTGTAAAAAGGAGATGAGTCTACTTATCTTGTGAAATGAGATGAGTATTCACAAAGTATGTTTTGATGCCTGTTCGATAGAATAAGCAATTTCCCAGAACCTGGGGAGCTGGGGGAGGGATGCATTCGGCGATGCAGCAGAACATTGTGGTACGGGTGAGCTCCCCTAGGCAACGCAGAAGTAATGCATGTCTTGCGTACAGACCATGCTACATTGGGAAGAGACGCGTCGCTGTCCAACACATCAACATCTTGCAGCTGTCTCAACACCAAATCCATGGGTTTTCAGCTTTCCATACCACATACGGCCAAAGTGTAACGGTATACAGAGTTCGTGGTACGTCACGTGACGAGCTGACGAGCTTAGGGCCTGTTCGGTTCCGGCTCGTTTTCCGTTTGGCCATACCTAACCCAGGCTCCGTCAGAAAAGTCGGAGACGAAAATGGAGATGGCATCGTGTTCGGTACAACGGGTGTCTGGGCGCCATCGTGTCGACGGAGCTCCACTCTGTTAGCCCAGCGCTAATACAAGAAGCCGTATGTCGTGCAGTTTTAACGCATGGCTTTCCGTCTTTCAGCCAAGAGATGCTCTGTTTTCTAGCTAGTAATAGGAGTCAAGACCACCAGTGAGATTTTAAAACTCCGTTTAGCCATGTGGCCAGGCCTCTCCGTTTTCTGTCCCAATCTGGATATACACAGCTGCAACGCTAACCGGTATTTACTGATCTAAAATGGTGGGTAAATGGAGACAGATAACAGAGTGAGTACCGGAGCTGAGGTCAGAGAAAAAGGGGACTTACGGTGGTTGGTGGACGCAAGCCTAAGCGCCAGGGTTGGTGATTTCAACAACACTAGATGTAAAGATCAACACGATCTCGTAATAAGAGCAAGACGACCTGTGGGACTAGAAATGCAACCTACTACCTACCTCGGGATTTAGGAAAAGAGGCCATGGCATTGGCTGATCTTTTCGTACTAGGTTCTTCGCTTTATGAATTTTCAACCGGTTCATGTCCGTAGCGTAGCACTATCATAATATACAACATAAAACCCACACTAATCTAGTCCCCTTTAGTTAACCTCCAACCATTTTGCTGGGGTCTCAAACTTATTTCCAAATCCTTCGCACAAGTCAGCATCTCGCTCTTTCTAGTCATTGTTCCGCATTGCTGGCGAATCGCTTCATCCAACCCTCCAAAGAGCACTGCCAAACTCGAAGATTTCCACGTCCTTTTTCCATACTTGGCCTCACTACGGTGTATCTTCCAGACCGTAATTGCAAGGAAAATGCACGTCATGGCCACGATGCAAGCTGGGAAAGCGACCCAGCCCCACCGCACTTGTACGCACGTGTCAGTCTGCACCGCGTCGCCTTGGACAAAACCGAACTTCTCGCTCCTCTTCGAGCCGAATAGTCGAATGGAAGCTGACATTGATCTCGTCAATCGCGCCGTGAAGGCTTCGACTGAGTCCAGATTCGCGGTACCATTTCGGTAAAGATTCTTGGTCCAAAGCTCACCGTAGGAAGCGCTTGGGCTTTGAGGACCGTATGCTAGGACGAGTGATTTTTTATCAAATTGATCTTTGAGGAAGTACATGATCGCCCTTTCAGTGGATTGGTCCATAACCCATACTCAGTCTTCTGGATACCATTGGAACTCATTAGGGACGTCGAGGTATCTTCCATCGATCCATAGAGTGTTATTAAAGACTGGGACTGGAGTCTTTGAAGAGTACATCGAACTGTATGTGCATGGCTCCCAAGCACCATTGCGCAAAGTTTTCGTAGATATGTATGTGAAGGGAAAATTGACGGAGCCTGGTGAGTTGGGACCCGATAGGGGTTCTGCCGACAAAACAGTCTCTTGCAAATTGGATAGCTCGATGCTTGATTCGATAGTTTGAATAGACGGCCATATATGGCATTCTGCGGCAAAAGGATGGGTAATGTTTTTGAAAGAGGCATCTACGGTATTGTAGTGCGCCTAGTCCACAGTGAGGGTAAGAACAGTGAAGCTAAAGAAGGTTGACTCTTCGGCGCCCGAAGACCAGTATTCTGGGAATCGAAGTTTTTTATGGACAATCGACGTGGTCCGAAGTGCTTCAAAATCAGCTCTAACTCCCGTCGAGAAATTACCCAATCTGGGTATATAGTACACTGAAGACTGCTGAAAACGCCTCGTCTCATTCGTAACATCAACGCAGGATGACTGCATAGCAAGGGTTTGGAAATTTGCGTTTGACCCGGGTGCCGATGGGAAAGTACAATTACCAGTAGAGCACTCATACCCAGTAAGGCTCTGCTCACTGGGGAGGCCAATATAAATCGACGCGGCAATGTCAGAGTCGAGGACCTCTCCACCTCCACCAGTATGGGTTGACATCTTTGTCATGTTCGTTGCGCGGAGTATGCGCGCTACTGAGCTTGTGGAGACTTTGTGACAAGATATTGGGCGAAGAATTCGCTGAGTGAATGGATCGATAGCGAATGCGAGAATTGTGATTCAGGCCCCGAAGGCAGCTAGATGACTGTAACACTTATTAGTAAGATCCATCATTAGCTCACCACCTACATACCGACTTTGTAAGCGGAATACAAGTAGTAGAGATCCTAGGGTTCCTCTGCTGGCAAGGTTAAATTTCTCGAAGCCAGTTAGTGGCTTGATATCAGAGAACCATTGCCATTTTAGCTAGCTTATCCCTGTCCACACGTATATGAGTAAACCGAAAAATTTGCCTTTCCAGGTGCGTACCTTCGGCGACTGGTAGAAGAATTGAAGCCTTGATCGCCGCAGCGAGTATAGCGACTAATGCGTTGATGGAGATGTGGAGCGGCAGGTTCGTCCAGACGGAGCCGTCAAAATAGCGGAGGACCGATATGAGGCATATCAACGCAATGACAGCCACAGCGCAACTAAGTGCTTCAGAGATCCAGCTGTCAGCCCAGGAGATAGCAAGTTTCTTCAAGAGAGCATGAACCGAATCGTTCCATTTGGTTTGGTTTTTAGCCGTCAAACCCGCTGTATACTTTCGATTTCGATTGGATCCTGGATCTATCTCCACTACTGACTGTACATTTTGCTCGACTTTCGTATGAAGCTTGTAGCCCGAAATCTCGATAGATTCTTCATACCATACTTGAGTACCGTCGTCTGGTGTCTCTGCTGCTTGTGAAAGGCTTCCAAAAGATCCCTGGGTTGGGGACTCTTTGGGGGGCATTGTTCACGATGATTTGGCACAAGGCTGAGTGTGTAGAATGTGTCAAGAATGCGTTGTTCCAGAACGCTACTGCTGCATGCTATTTCTATTTGTAATCCAGTGTACAGCCCCCAACCTACAAATATAGGTCAAGATGCGCTCGCTTACAGCGTTATCGCACAGTATAACGCCCTCGTGGCGCTTTGCCACCGGCTGAATCCACTACAAATGATAAGTGGGCTATCCAACTATCCTTAACTTTACCTGCTGCGATGTGAGACACACATGGTAATAAGCCACTTAGACACGAAGAATTCAGAACATCACTCTAGCGTAAGAGCTTCATTCTGGGAAGACATCAACTCGTTCCATAGCATTTGCAGATTCCTATGCCAGCTCATGGCCGAGATTTTTGCTATATTGTTCATGAACACGTGTAGTATCTACTTTTTTTGAACAGACGCGTCGGACTAAGATGATGTTGATTGGCATATAAGGAAGCATACCCATTGCTTTGCAGATGCTCTAAGAATTCATTTTGTATTGGTACATGGCATGTTGAATTACAATTATGAAGCCGTACAACTTTACACTCGACGAACTTGTCAGTGTCAGCTGTGGCAATCGTGATCGCGTCGTATGATAACTGCTCATCTCCGAGAAAGAACATCCTGTGCACCGTCCTTCACTCTCTGTGCAGCATTGGCGACGCTGTCCTTGCTAAGGCCGAAATGCGAGCCGAGACGTTCCTGCAATTATATTAGTATCCTGGTGCTGTTCAAGTCACAATGAAGAGCTTACCTGCTCAGCCCCCATACCGCTGCCAGCCATCAATTTGGCCCTCTGTCGACCATCGTAGCCCAGGCCATACCAGCTAGCATTCTTCTCTCCATTGGCGACCACGCTGCCTGCTGCCTGGACGGCCTTTACGGCATCGAAGCTGTGCAGCGCGGGACTAAAGTGCGCGTTGTACCTGTCCTGCTCAGCACCATCACCCTGGTACTTGGCAGCCTCTTTGATAGCCCTGTAGCCCCGGTCGCCAATGCTGAGATGCGAGGCATAGCGGTCTTGTTCTGCACCCGAGCCGGCGGCATTGGCTGCGTTCTGGAGCTTATCAAGGCCCCGGTCGACACCGCGTTTGATGGCATCCGAGGAAAAGTGCTGGGCGTATCGGTCTTGCTCGGCACCAGAACCTGACTTTGTTGTGACGTCCGGGTTGACAGGATGCGTAGCCAGAACAGACTTCTCGTCGGAGCTAAACCAACCCATTGTGAAGTAAATTGAGATGAAGTGGGATGAATCAAAGGTTGTAGAGGTGGTAGTTGTCAATTGAGAGCTGAAATTGAGATTGCAAAGTAATGAGAAGGAAGTGGACAAGAAAAAAGTCGTGTTATGTAGTATGGGGAGCTTCAGTTGCGGAACGATGACGTAGGAACTAGCAAACTAGCGCGCATATCCTTGTCGCGTCCCTGATTGTCGCGGGGGACTCACCACCAAGGTTCCGTGCCTCTGGAATGCGCATGCATTAGCACGTGATATAATTGATTTAACATCTTGTCGTACAGTTCCTTTTTGACTTCTATTCTGGACTTGCAACTTGATGCTCGAATCTACAGATGAGGTTTACATTATTCATCTGTTTAGTTGTAGCGCTGGCACAGTAACCACAGGTATGAGGTCATATGTAGCCTAACCATATCTGTACATGCCACCATATTCTTTCTGCTACTAACTAGCTCCGGACAATAAGAGAGAAACGAGGAGATTGCTAGCAGAATCAGTTCGACAAACATGTGGTAACTTTAGACCCTTCCATACGACTAGCAGATAGCCTATTCACAATACGTCTTAGCTATCATGATGATTTCGTTCGCACTTTTACCTGGGCACTTCCGATCGTAAGCCTTTGCCTCTCTAAACTGAGCGTTGAAGTTGTTCGCTGCGACAAAGGAGCGAACTGCGGTGTCCATGCTCTCCAGTAGGCTAGCCTTGTCTACCTGGTATGCTTCCTCGTCTAGATCGATAATCTCGGCGATCTTCTTGTGACCAACCGCCCACTTTGTGATCGCTTGATCGAGGTTGCCAGCCGCGAGCATTCCTACCCTGTAACTAAGGCCATCCATACCTTGAATTTTGCTCGCCTTGTCGAGGAGATATTTGAAGTAACCGAGTTCATAGACTCTTGCGACAACTGCCATGTGCATGTTCTCATAATCTCTCCATTTCCATAACGCTCTGCGGATTCCGTATTGTGCACCGGTAATGTCAATGATCCACTGCGTTTTCGTCTTCTCGGACCTGATGCGAAGAATTGCATGCCTGTAATTTGGCCAGTTCGCATTCGTGCCGGCACCCTCACGGGAGATGGTTACCTTTTGACTAATCAACCGAAGAAATACTTCAAGTTCCTCAATTTCAACCGGAATTCCCATCAAAGGGTTGTTAGTGAAGCGCCGTAAAAACTTGATGAAGGCCAACTACCTTCAGTAAGGGCTTTGATGAGGCCATGTAGGTGTGCCTGTGGCTCGTCGCAATGCATAGCAACGAGCGCTGCTTCACGAACATTTTGGGATGTTGCCATATGTGCAGGAAAATTGCTGAAGTGACTGCTGCTCTTTGTCTTATCTGCCCAGTGGATCTCCAGACCGTCAGGTACCTGGTCAATTCTCACCACAGGGATGTCCCAAGTCGTTTCGCGGAAGTTGAGGTAAGCTTGCCGAGCGATTTCGGCGATTCGGGTAAGGGCTTTCTCCAGTTGGGCGTCCTTGCATGCGTTCTTGTGATTTGGCCTATCATTCTTCTGGCACACTTGGCCACAGTAGTAAAGTGAGTAGGTATCTGATTTGCAACCGCCACACACATCGGAAGCTGTTTTTTTGCATGCAGCACAGATCCCTTGCGGTTCGGGAGGCATTCTGGAGTCAGTGGAATGGAAAGGGAAATAATCAGAGACGATGTTGTGGCTTCACTAGGATATCTAGGTAGAGGGAGAAACTCTATAGTAGAGTGGAATGCGTTTCTATCTTGTTCCGTGAAAGCAAACTTGAATGCGATATGGAGGGAAACGTTGGGTGAAGATGGATTGACTGTACATTGAGCAAACGTGGTGCTATCTGCTCATTCACCTTCACTTTCATATTTGCCTACACAAAACGAAACAGACACACACACACACACACATATATATATATATATATATTGTTCTGATATAAAGCCTCTCCCACTACCCGCATCTCATCGTGGACTCACAACATCGTCACTGATCTATTCCCCATTCCACTGACGCCAAAATGGCTCCCGCGCCTCAGAAAATCTGCGTTGTTTGTGGCGATCCAGCTACCTCGAAGTGCCCCGACTGCAAGTCAAATACATACTCACGCTAATACTGCGGGAAAACGTGTCAGGAGACGGATTGGCCGGCGCACAAGAAAGGATGCAGGGACTTCCGTAATCGGCGCCTGGAGAAGAAGCTTGAGCGGATCACCGACATCTTGCAGCAAGTTTACTACATCTTCCGCAAAAACACCTGGGACGTCCCTGTGGCGGCGATCATGGTCCGTGGTGATTGTGTGGAAATCCATCCGAGCCTTTCCCAAGAACCGAGTTTTTTCTCCAAATTTCCTGATCATCTTCCCATGAGCGAGCAGACAAGGAATGCAATCATTTCTGCCTTTAGCTGCAACGATCCACTGGCATACTTCAAGGATATGATAAGCGCTTCGCTTGAAGGTAAGTTGACTACCATTTTCGAAGTCCCATACTAACACAAAGCCCAAAGGAATGGATGTCAAAGTCGAAGAGTGCAAAGCCACTCTCGGCAAGATTACACAAAAGGTTGTCTTTCGGACTAGCGGCGAACAACCTGTAGATTGCTCGGCGTTTGCTCATGAAATTCTCCGCATCACCGTGCCTGGGAAGCGGTGGATCATCGATATCACTGGTGCACAATTTGGAATTCACAAAACGCTGTGGGCCTGGGAAGACTACAAGAACAAACATCATGCGAAAATGGGCATGATATACAAGCTTGGTACGAATGAAATATTGGTCAAGGCTTTGAGCAACGTTGAGGGTCTTCACGGCATGCGGCATACGATAAAAGAGATGGCAGCCGGCACTCTCAACACAGCAATCAAGGAATGGACTGGTAGCCACCACTCCATTGCAGCCATGATTCTCAAGAATGATGATGAATACGAAGCGACAAAGCTTAGCTTTCTGAGCAGTATGGACGTCGCAGTTCGTTCCTTTGTTGCGGCAAACAGATTCGAGACTGAGATCCGAAAGGCCTTGGAATACGAGCTGAGCAACCCAGGTATGAGCGATAAGATGATTAATACTGTCGCCGATGTATTTACCTTGAGCCTTTTCATTGGGTCGCGTGGTCGGAACAGCCGATAGTCACAATGGTTGGAGCTACAGAGATATCTGATCTCAATCACTACCCACGCTACAAACTGCCGGTACTTGTTTCAACTTTTCAATCTGGTTACTGAGGGGATATTATGGAAAGGGAAACGGCTGGATATTGGCGGAAAGGTCAGAATGCATACGGTAAGCCAGGTCACATGGAGTTTAACAAGGAGAAATTCAATCCACTGGCACAGCTTCAATAGTGCTCATGTATTCACACGAACCAAGATGGTAGTTCAAATATACCATAACCAAAATACAAAACATCACATGATCAATGATTTGAAGTGAAATGTCCATTCCACGTTATCAACGTGGCCATCATAAAAATATTTCATATGTATCTACAAAAGAATCCCCAAAACCATTGACAAATCTAGTGCTTCTTGGCCTTGATACCCTTCAAGAAACCAGCATAGGCAGGCTTCTTGTTGTAAGACTCATCCCAGAGGAGGGCAGCACCCTCACCAGCAAAAACACCAGGGATCCAAGAGTACTGATCGGAAATACCCCAGACAGTCATACCAACACACTGCTTAACAGCAAGGCAGGACTTTGCAACGCGCTCGAAAGCATCGGCTTGGACCTGAAGCTTCTCGGGGGTGGCAGGGGTGTTCATGCGGAGATCGATCTCGGTGTAGACGACCTTGACGCCGAGGTTGGCGGTGGCGCGGAGGGCAGCTTCGAGAGTGGCTTGGTCAGGGGCAGCGCCGGGGGCGGTGGGGGTGGGCTCGCTGGCGAGATGGGCCTGGTAGCCGACGCCGTCGATGCGGATGCCGTAGGACTTGATGAGCTTGACGATGCGGGCAGCACCCTGGGTCTTGTTGCCGTTGTACTCGAGGTTGTAATCGTTGTAGTAGAGCTGGGCCTTGCCGCGGTACTTGTTGGCGAAGCGGAAGGCAATGGGTAGGAAGGCCTCGCCGATGGTGTTGTACCACACGGACTCGCGGTAGGTGCCGTCTTCGTTGAGGGCCTCGTTGACGACGTCCCAGCGGGTGCAGACGCTCTTGTAGCGCGTCATGACGGTCTTGATGTGGTTCTCCATGATGTCAATCAGGGTCTTGTTGTCAAAACCGCCGCCGGAGACCCAGACGGGGAGCTGGGAGTGCCAGACAAGGGTGTGGCAGTGGACCTCGAGGTTGTTCTTCCTCGCGTATGCGGCATAGCGGTCGGCATCCGCAAAGGTGAAGTTGTTGCGAGATGGCTCGACGGACTCCCACTTCATGCTGTTCTCAGGCGTGAAGGAGTTGAAGTCGGCCTTCATGATCTCGTCTTCCCGGCTGGAATTCCTGAGGGTCAGGGCAGTGCCAATGAACTCCCTTCCGGCCTTCTCCATGGCCTTGTAAAGGCTGTCACTGGGGCCAGGACGAACACTGAGGGTGATGTAAGTGAACCTGTTCGTGACTAGATGTGCGATGTTACTTACGGGCCGGCAACAGCAGAGCTGGCAAGAGCCAAGCTGGCGAGGATGCTAGAGAGATGCATGGTGTCTGATGCTGAGACTCGTTATGATTAGAGCTGTCTGCCACAGTACATTCAAAATACAGATGATGTTCCTATATATATAGCATTCGACGGTTATTCTAAAATTCTAGCGTCTCCGCGTTTAATCAATCCATCCGCCCCGGCGGTGCGTCTTCACGCCAACTTGGTAGTTTAACCGGGTCCTGGGCTCTCGCGTCTGCATATCTTCTAGGGACGTTCTTGGAATCTACCCCGTAGCGCCAAGTGCTAGCGGTTTGTGGAGATTCTCCAGACTAGTCGACAAATCAGCCGGCTTGGACCTCGGGAGCACAGGGCCAAGCTCCCGCTTCTGGGGTAGACTGTTTGGACGCCTGAATGAAGTGGACATTCCTGGGGTATAGTCTGAACACGTGAAATGCAGGTCCCACTCGCTTGAGAGGAGTGCATGCAGAACGGGCTGCAGTGAACGTCGAAGCTGGCCGGTTAATAGGATGTTTCCTGACTCCATTGCCTACCCTTTCATCCGGTAGTACTCATGTATCTCATGATATTGATTGTAGTCGTGGTGGCAAACGAGTAAGTAGAGAACGTGTTTTTGCTGGGGATTGATCGCCAACCGTTCCAAGCATGATCAACATGCATAACAATCTATCATGCAGTTGGCATGCATCAAATTGACACGTCCGATTCCCCGGCTTACCAGATTGGATTTCATACCGTGTCTCTTTCACACTCCCCTCGCCACCATAGTGATTATCGGTTGACTTCACATCATGTCCATGACGACAGGAACATCTGCGTGTGTTGGACGCGGTTGCGAAGCCACCATCGGTTTCCCGCTAGTAATTTAGCGTGCATTGCAGCAGTTCTAGCTCTAACCGCCAATCACAGCCACCCGCAATTACCCATTTAACCGAAAGGGCGACGCCGCGCGAAGCTGGGCGTCCTTAATAAATCCAACGTCGCTGCAATCACCGCACTCAAAAAGGAATACATGGTAAGATTTCCGTGGCGAGAAGACCATAGCCAGTATCGATAGCGTTGAGGCTTTTTGCCATCGACTTCGACATCACCCGGGACTTTGTTGTTGTACACAATGCCCTCTGCTAGTCCTTGCCGCACGACTTTCCTCATAGGACCTAGTGATCACCGCTTGGCCGTCTCACTCCCCTATGCGAGAAATTTGACTTCAAATTCTAGCGGAATGCCCCAGAATCTTCACAAGTCTGTCCTTGACAGCTTGGTCAGTTATTCATCTCTCAGTACCAACGGTTGGCAACGCATATTTTGTTTGCTCGATCCTCCCACCCGTTGATCTCGCTTTGCGCTTTCCATAGCCAAGCATATTGTATGCTTCACCCGGTTTGACTCTCACCGATATGGTTCATGGGAACGATGCATTCACATGGGAGGATTTTGTAGAGGCAAAGACACCTGCCATCTCAACGCCAGCCTTGACCTAGCATCATCGCATCACACGATACAATGTACACTTTCTCAGGCAATGAGCACCTCTCTACGATTGGCAGGCAAATAGGATGGTATCTGTGGAACATGTTTCTTTCGAACAATGTGTTCAATAACTGATGCCTCGCTAAAAACCATATACTTAAAGTTCGACTCCACTATCCACGTGTTTACGGTACATATAGATCCCAGTCGTTCCGAGCAATGTTGTTCATTCAAGTTGGTAGGAAAATATCTTGATTAAACGACTTGCCAACATTGGAAATGGGTATCCCGTCATCAAAGCGGTATCCTTTTCAAGTGTAAACAAAGTCAGAGAACATCAAAAACAGAGCTACGAAACGATCTTCTAACCTCGTTGACGGTTCATAATCTTGCATCCCACAATGTCTTTGAAAGACTATGTGGAAAGGTCTGTATCAATCAGGTCAACGAGGAAGACTGAAAATTCTTTGATGAAAGTATATGCTTCAGCCCAAGGAAAACAGTATGCGATATCAAGTCATCGTGGCAGCTTGAGAACAGATGGATATTACCAAAATACTCAAGTGAATATGCAAGACTGATATGCAGTCTGGAAGCAAGTGCTGTTGCGTCATTACCTTCCTTTTCGTGCTGTAATCTAACATTCTTCCTACTTACTTTGCAATACTTATTGTGAAAGATGCAACTCCTTGTATCTCCTAATGCGATGTACCCAGAATTTGGGTCGTTCCTGTGAGCACTAGATGTCTCAAGCAATTATTTCCACATGAGACAGGAAGATTTAGTAAGAATTCGGAAACAGTGTCTGATACAAACCGCTCTTTATTTGCTTTTATTTGCTACACTTCTATGGCATTGTATTCTGCCCAAACGCCATAGGCTTTGCAATCACACTTGCCACACCAATGACAATATATTCCAAATCATATATCAAAGTATCCAAACATACCCAAATATAAGTTTACCGGTTTATATTATTAACACCTTGATTATGGGCGTTGCCTAATCTTTACAAGTGGTGAGAGGCGATGTTCATGCACGTGACATTGTCTTGGCACAGCGTTCACCTGCATCCAGCAATGTAACCGGATTGGGCACGCCAAGGGCGCGCGCACGGCCACCCGCCAGACGATCAGTCCGTACCGTTTCATCTGGACTCCCAGTATCTTCAACCACAGTGTCAATATACAATGCGCAATCCTGGAACGATTGAAAAGTCGCAATCGACAACAACCTATGTCAGCGCTCACATTGTCAAGCCACAATGAGCTCCCCTGTACCCATTCAGATAGTGCGACGCCCTGGATTTATACCGGTCCCCCGCCTTTGCTACGATGGTAATCCAGACCAGTCCACAGGATCAACTGCAACCTCTCTTTCCGGGAAAAAATCAAACCGGGAAAGCTCTTTCGACCCGACACGCACCTTTAATCACGACAGGCGCCATCAGCACATACAACAACATCGTCCGAATCTGAAAAAAGATATGACTACCTATTACTGTTATGGAAAAGACGGCAAAGTCACTGCTACCCATCTCAATCCAAATGCCCCAGCATTCACACGTGGCATCCAAGGAGCCACCTCAGACCAGCAACATGGAGACATTGTTGGAGCCTATCTCGCACACCGTGCAATGACTTACCCCGCACCAAATTCAGAAGAAACACATCAGCATGGGAGCACCCCATATCAGTCATGGGGCCAGCCACTCGACAACAGCGCTATATCAGAACTCATGGAGCCAAGCCACTGGTCCAGCGACGAATATGAGTCATCTAGCTATCCAACCAGTTCACAAGCTGAGTCTATGAGTACTCTGGGTTACGCTGGATGGGCTTCCCACTCAGGTATAGCTCATCCCTATCCAAATCCGGAAGACATTCGTCATATGCACACATTGCACAGCCTATTGCCATATCTGCAACCCGAGAGAAAGTTGAACGCACTACACGGACCGGCAGTCGATATCATTGAGCAGGATACTGGAGTCGTGCTTGCCTATCAAGTTCCCAAGAAGCTACTGGTTTTGTTTATTGGTCGGAGGGTTGTCAACAAGTACATCCGAACGGTACAACGCCAAGACGGCAAGAGCTCGAGCGAACCGCCAACCTACCAGGAAATGAGCCTACCTCGTGGGGTAAGCAGCAAGGCCGGAATGAGGGTGTTGATTGCCTGGATGGCAAGGGCTTGCCAGTACCACACCATGGCTACGATGGAACAGATTCGCATTCCCAGGAAGACGTTTGTCGCATGTTCATTGGCTCAAACTATGGAGCTTCTCGGCCTTCACAAGGATGCTCTTCGGGTTGACAATTTCATCGCACAGACGCATTTTGTCCGCCCAATCTTCGCAGTCGAGTTGGAGGCCTTGTGGAACTGCCTTGGTGAAGAAAATCGATACGTCTACGCGGCTATCCGGGTTGTCGGTAATAGATTGCAAACGCATGAAAGCAACGATTCAAAAGCCGTTCCAGGCATTGATACTGACATGTACGTTACGCTGAAAAGGTATCCACAACTGGAAGCCCGTGTGCGCGATCCGGAGCTGAATGAGCGGTATCACCCACACTTCAGCACGAATTGGACAAAGAACTTGGGAAGTAGTGTGCGAAACAAGACGACGAATAGTTCTCAGGGTGGACATGATACTGGCAACCACTGGTCACAGGAGGACGTCAACAAGAGCCATACAACAGATATCAAAGATACGACACACAATCTCGGGAGCTTGAGTATCGTCTCGGATAACTCGAAGCTCTCGGTAGCTTATGCGGAGAGCGATATCATGCCACATGATGGCAGCACCCCAACCCAATGGTAAAACAGCGGCTGGTACGGCTTGAGGCATGCCCTTTTCCTCTTCATCAAATTTATACGAATTTTCTTTTGGGGTTGTATGAAAGCGTTTTGTTTATCTCAATGCATCATCATGGGCGTTTTTATTCACAGTAAACATCCGTTGGGCTGGCGAGGTTGAGCATAGCACGGCGCTGGGGTTTCTTGTATCCGAATGTCTCTTTGTATCACTTTACGGTAGTTTAGGAGCACGAATTGCAAGCTGGATATGAAACAAAATTCTTGTTTTGTGGAAATGGCTACGTGTTGGCAGATGCGGAATAGATATTGAAGGATTGGTGTCCGAATGAGGTGTATCAATATGGTTTCAAGCATGGATATCTTACATTCAAACATGACTTCTTGAGTATGTGATGTGTCGGTGACGTACGCATAGTCATCGACTTTGCCACAGCTCACCTTGTTGTGAAATGAAAGCTGTACAGTATCATTACATCAATGATAGGCTCATCCCATGCTGAATGTCTTGGTCATGATTCAGTCAAAGATTCACCAATGGGCTTTCATACCCTTCACAGAGAAATATCGCTGACTTATATCAGCACCAAAAATCCCACTGATAAAGGCTCTCTCTTAGAATATTGCACTGTAACCACTCAAATAAGGCCACCAGCCCTCTTATAGGTCTTCTCCATAGCCAGTAAATTTCCTCATATGCCACAAAGAAATCCAGACGATATGTGTCCATGCGGACAAAGACACTGCCACCG